CACTAATAAATAGAAATTGTCATACTAAGCCGGTAGATTTAAATGTAAAAGAAATTTCTATCAATGGTAATGGTATAGTAAATCGTAACGAAAAAGTCATGGTAACAGGACTCTATCGGAGACGTTTTGTTCGATAGAAGAAGGTGTAGCCTTTCAGATCAAGTGCAAAATAATTTTTAGCGTGAATTTTCCTTAATGACAAAGCCTCGAAGAAGTTTTCTGTAGAATTTAATTAATTTAAGAAAACTTGCTGGAAAACGGTTAAAATTTACCAGAAATAGATGACATTATAGAACTATATACAGTTTTTCATGCTCTTTCTAGTGGTGTAGTTAGAATTGCTTTTCAAGTTGACGGAACTCTTAAAAATTAAACCTCGCCTTTTTTTGTAAAAAAGTTTAAGATCTTGGGGAAAACCCACCTTTTAGACTTTCCATCTACTCAGACTTATTAGTGACGAGTTCATCTTTCTAACTGATCTCTTCCCGACACTTACAAACCATCAAAAAATCGTTTGCCTAGAATAGATGGAAAATAATGAAAAACCGCTTAAACTTTTGTCCGCTGGATAAAAACGCTTTTTTCTCGTAGGTAAACAGCCTGTACTCTGGAAAGATGAATTTAGTCTATTTTTGTAGCCCATCGTCTGGGGTATTCGAATCACTATTTGGATGCTTATTAGCGTCTGAAATTGATGGAGAAAACTGAAAATATTAAATCTCTTAAACTTTTGTCCGCCACCTTAAGGTTATTAAAATGTAGCAAAGATGATATGTAGCCACTAGTATCCAATGTCATACGTTATATCGCAGAATATGTCACAATTTACAACATCATATATTTTTTAGCATAAGAAACTGGTAAAATTGCCCCAAAACTAATATCTTATCTTTCTAGGATTTAATCTTTAAAGAAATTGTAATAATATGACATAGACGAGGTACCGCGAGAAGCACTAAGATTTATCAAGACAATCAAAATATAATTTGATTCTCTATCTGCAGATTATAGCTGATCAATGATGTCATTCAATAATCTTTCCAGTTATTCTCCGTGTCACATGCCACCCTATTCATTACCCATCGTATCATCTGAAATTAAATTACGTTTTTCTTTAACTGTAACATTACTTGTTTATTTAATTTATTTACTACCATTTTGTTTTGGCGTATTTGGTAACATCAGTGTATGTTTAATATTTTTTCAACAAAAAAAATTACGATCTATTACAAATACATTTTTAATGAATTTATGTATTAATGATTTAATTGTATTATGTGTATCTATACCGATGACAATAACAAATGTATTAATTGAACATTTTATATTTGGTTCATTTTTATGTAAACTTATCAATTTTACACCAACTGTAACCGCTCTCGTTTCAACATTTACAGTAGCTGTTATTTCAGTAGAAAGATGGTTTGTCATTGTTAATAAGAAAAAATTTAATCGTAAATGTATCATTATCATGTTAATATTATTATGGTTAGTATCAATATCAATTGCCATACCAGAATATTTATCACGTACAGTTGTGGAATCTACACAACCAGATATGATAATATCTGATTTGTTACATATAACAATGAATAAAAATTATTCCTATGAACAACAACAAAATCGTAGTCATATAAGAACAATAATACCGAAACTATGTAAAATGAAAAAGATCTACTACTGTATAACCAAACCCGGTCTGAGAACACGTGTATATAGTTACACAATTTTAGCTGTACAATATTTGGTTCCATTCTTGTTTGTTTCTGTTAGTTGTTATTCAATTAGTCGATTTTTAAAACGACGTATTGAACGAATGAAGTTGTATAATCAACGAAAATCATCAGATCAACAACCATCAGATATAAAACGTTTTCATTATAAATCACATAATTCAACAACAGCAGCGATATTTTGTCATATTAATCCTGATGATATTGATAATGAATTAACAAGTAATGAAAATCCATTACAAACGACAATTGTCAATATTGGACAACAAACAGAAAATTATAATTTAATAAATAATGAACAAATACGTTTGACAACAGCATCCTCATCATTCTCCGCCTTCAAACGTTTAAGATATCTTTTATCTCGGCATCAAGAACATAAGAATAATACCACACATTCATTACATTATTCAAATTTACAAAGAACAATAAACAATGAACAAACAAGTCGTTCATTTTCTCTAAACCCCATTATTCGTTCTAAAATACAATCACATACAAAACGTCGTTTTCATAAAAGTCGAAAATTATTAATTTGTGTTGCCACTGTATTCATGTTAAGTTGGCTTCCATTATCTATTGTACAATTTTATCTTGAACACAACAATGACATATTGAAAACTAATGATGCCGATTTTACCTACGGTGTATTGTTAATTCCATGTTATTTAATTACATCGTTATCGGCATGGATAAATCCAATTATTTATAATTATATTAATCGAAGTTTTCGTCGTGAATTTTATTCACTTTATTCATGTTGTTTTAAAAATCAACGAGATAATAATAGTCGACGACCGGCAACAACGATATCTACGTATAAAACAAGTCATTGTCAAACAACAATACTTCCACTTGGGAAAGATAGAGAATATATGACAACAATTGACAATATTAAAAATAAACAACCTCATGTACATGCTACATTTACGGATGATAAAATAATTAACAAGAAAAATCAGTCGTTTCAACTACTGGCATGTTCAACTTTGCATAAACCTTAAATCGCTGGATACGCAGTGTCAGTAATAAACCTTCATACTGATGAATTGAGATTGTACTGTGTACAAGAAAGAGAGACAATTCAACAATGCTTCGTACATTTTTCTACAAAATTGCTTTACTACAAATTGCTGTTCTATTTTTTTCTTGTTTTGTTGAATGCTTTTGTTTCTATCGTTGAATATTTAATGTATATTTGAAAATAAGTTTTATACACCTTCAATTTTCTATATCATTCATATAACTCTACGTTATTCTGAACAGACTTGTTATTTCTCTCTGATATTATCAAATATACGTAGAATAAACCTTTCGGATAAAAAAACAAAATTCATATAGATGTAGCTATTAGACGTAGAAGAAAATAGCCAAATTCGTTTGAAAAATGCAGTTTGTATGAAATTGTTCTTCTGATCTAAAATAATTTTAAAATTATTATTTTTAGGTTTTTTATGGGTTTAGAAGATGCAACGGTGTTTCAAAGTTCAGAATATGTTAAAAACAATTCATTTTTTTGTTTGATGATCAACTCTAGTTTTAAGGAAGTAGTTCTCATTGTTGAAACAATTAAAATTATTTTTTAACTATTATTAAATTTCTCATTTTTTAAGGTTTTCAAAATTTTCATCATAATTATTTTAGAAGCACAGGAAAATTTATTATTCAAATAGTTTCGTTTCTTGTTCACTGCTCAGGTAAAAAGTGTCTGGAAATTTCTGCAGCAGATTTGTAGAAACTTTGTAATTTGCAAATTTCTCGGAAGATTCTGCATGTAGAATGTAGACAAGATTTGTAGTAAGAATTTCTTCAAAAATTTGTATAAAATATACACAAATCTGTCGCAAATTATTACTGAATATCGATACATTCTTCATACTTTTTTGCAGATTTCCTACGCTGCAATCTCAACAAAATCCTAGTTTTTGTACACAGTTCACGCTTTGTCATACAAGTGGAGTATATTTTTTACGCGTGTCCACACACCATTTTATGATATTCACCTGCTATCACAGTTCAATTCACAATATTCACAGGTGTACACGCCGTTTTATATACTAAAATTTCTCTATGGGACTGCTACAAATATTCATCCGTTAGAGAACTGAACATATGTTCTTCATCGTATGAGTTCTCGGTTTAAGTTATGAGATGCTCTGACGTTTTCTAGTGCTTCAAAAAAATTGTGCACATATATGTGGGGACGTATAACTAAACTCAACCGATCAGAAAATTGAAAAAATAATTACAAACTGAATTTAGGCAAACATGTTTTCGGAATTTTAGAGTTTTAGAAGATGAACCAGAGCAAAAATAGGTTATCGCATGAGACTATATTGCCTCACAAGTTTTGTAGATGAATATGGAAAACGTTTATCCGATCAAGACCCATTCAAGAGCACATACGTTTGAAATCCAAAAATTTATTCTAGAAATTTTCTTTGTGTAGTGCCATAAGTAGTACACTCAAAAGATAAGTTAACAATTTCATAAACAAGTTTAGTTTTCGTAGTAGTAAAACAAAATATTTAATTCAGTATCAGATAAAACTATAACGGCTGATGCAAAAGTTACTTGAAAAAAGCTCAAATCTATATTTCCGTCATACAAAAAGATACATATCTAATTCTTTTGTTTTGTTTCAGAGACCGAAGTCTGAAATTCAAAAAGCATATAAAACAAAAATTTTGTGATTGAGTTTGAGGGAGAAAAAAGTTAAATACTAAACGTCACTTGAAAAGCTCTTGTAATTTTCGCACTCTTCAAATATCTTTCTCATCAAACGTTTTTTTTCCTCATAACAGAATACGTTTGAAATTATGTATTTATAGAAACCAGAAGTATTTTTGTGCTCTTTCGAATAGGATATAATAAATTATCTTCTGATCTACTTTTCAAGAAGAAATTCGCAAATTTCTCATTATTTTAAAAAAACAGTTAATTAGATTTAATTAATAGATCTTAGATAGAGAAAGAACTTTGTTCTTTTCCTAAAACAAATTTTCTGAAACAGCATTCAATTCTCTATAAACTCGTATTCGTTTTAATCATTACTAACATATTTTGAGCCATAAATAAAGACATTTTCTCACGAGAAATTTCGATAGATAGATCGATAGAGTTTTCCAGATGCTACATTCTGATTGATTTGATTTTCAAAAAAGCTTTTTTCTTCATACTATGGCAGCAAATAAAGAAAAAAGCACTGTGTACAAAAGCTTTTCGAGTGACGTTTGGTATTTAACTTTTTTTTCCGTCAAACTCAACCACAAAGTTTTGTTTTATATGTTTTTTGAAGTCCAGATTTCGGTCGTTCAAGCGATATAAATATATTGACATTCTTTAACCTTTTTACATTTTTTATAAAACTAAGTATATTTAATATAATTGAAAAACATTTTCATAAAATGATTTTACATAATTCATAATTCATCCGCTCCGGTAAAAACTCTTCATCGCTCGAAAGTAGACTTGTGAGTGTGAAAGTAAGTAAGTAAGTTAGACCCGTACCGTTACCGGTGTAGGGTGAAAAACAAAATCCAATGCACAAATTAAAAAGAAAACTATAGTGTCTTTGGTAAGTGTTTGTAAGTCGCTGTTGTAAGATAAG